CGTAAATCCCAAAATCAATTCCTAGCTATCCTACTGTATCGCACGCCTACTAATTACCCTAACCCCGTGCCTTATTCGATATATCCCAAGAGCGGGCTGCTCCCGTGATTCACCATTTGGCTGGTACCCAAATTGTCCGGGGATTCTCCTCTCAAGGAGCCTAGTCCGGTTACAAAGGAGCAAACCAGGGAATCGGAAAAAAGAAACCGAAAAAAAGGAAACGAAAAAAAGGAGGGAGGAAAAAGGAAAAAGGAAGAAAAATGAAAAAAGGAAAAGAAAGGGGGGGGAAAAAAAAAGGGGGGGCGAAGGCGGGTAAGCAGCCATATCAGAAGGCAAAACGGAGAGAGAGGGGGGAGGAGGGGGGATTAATCTGTAGAGCCAGCAAGGCCTTGTGAGCAATGTCGGCCACTCCCTGTCGCTCCTCCCAGCATCTATATGTGTGTGTGTGTGTGTGTGTGTGTGTGTGTGTGTGTGTGTGTGTGTGTGTGTGTGTGTGTGTGTGTGTGTCCCTCCCATTCCCTCTGGGGGATGAGCTGTGCCGAGAGGGCGGTTGCCCGGAGAACAGCCGGCCCACTCGGCCAGTCGTCCCCCGGACATCCAACACACATACGCACATACACAGACACAAGCACGCACGAGGAGCGCACGGTTAGTCCGTGAAGCCATACATATCGGATAGTGCCTCCCTCACTGTCTGCACAAAGACCCTGCCAGGCTGGTAGCGATACGCATGCCACAAGGTTTTCCTGACTGCCCCCCAGCAAGCATCCCTGGCAAAGTCGTTGCCTCTCATCGTAGTTACAACTTTGTTGATTTCTGTGGCCGCATCACCTGGCTCGGAGCAGAGCAGTAGGATTTGAGCAATCTGGGTTGTGATGACCTGCAGCGCCTGCTTGGCGCATCTGTTGGACTTGTACTGGATGAACCTGCATGGGGTGAACCCCAACCCCTCCCGCTTGTCATGCTTGGAGGTGATGAATGTGCCAGCTTCCGGGGATGTGACCGCAATGGTCAGGCTGAGAAAGTTGGCCCTGCGACCGCATCCGTCCACGACCACCTCCGTATTCTCCTTTAGCTCGATGTACTCCGTGGGATAGATCCAGCAAGGGTTATCCACCGCTCTGTCCACTTTCATAAAGCTCCTGATGATGGTGTTGTTGATCGCGCTCAGGTGGTCGATGTATCTGAAGGTGTCCGCGAAGTACGGGACCAGATGGGCATTGCCAGTGTCTGCCAATCTCATCATAGCGTGATATTCATACTTAGAAAAGTATATATCACACCAGATTGGGGAACACGCCAGGCCCATAGGGATTCCTCAGACCTGCCTCCACACATAGTCTCCCATGCGCAACACGCTATTGGCAATGCACCAATCAGAAAGCCAGCAGATGTCCTTCTCCCTGAATAGCATCATGCCCATCCCTTCAGCCTGATTGGCATCCACCCACGAAGGCCAGCACTTGCCGTAGTCTCCCACTCTAATTTGAATAGTATGGCATGAGCTCCTCTCTCTCCTCACCTGCATCGCACTCTGCACGTAGAATCTCACCGCCGCAGGTAGGCCGTCCTCCAAGTTGTCCGTGGGGATTGTTTCGAAGCACTTGGTGATGTCCGCTGTGAAAACCTAGAAGATTCTTTCCGGTAGGTTTGCACAGAATTCCCCCACCGAGGCAATGGACCACCACAGGTTTGGCTTCACCCCATACTGTTCCTGCATCTCCAGGCTTCTCTCCTGACAGAATGTCTGTACGAGGGGAAGAAGGAATCGCAGGAGGCATGCATAGAGGTCCGCCGCCGGTGAGATGACCGTGTCGACTGTGTTCGTGATCCACCGGAATGCGCCCTTGTGTGCCTTGAAAACCGTCATCAGGTACGGGAGCGCCAGAGGTGCCATTGGTAGTGCTAAGAAGGCCGAGAGCTCGCCCTGTATCCGCGCAACCACCGCGTTTGGGGGGGCGGCGATGCTCGCAAACTCCAGTCCGGATAGCCTCTGGAAGGCGAGCTTTCGGATAAAGTTCTTACAAACGAACGCCGGGGTGTTCGGCGCCGTGTCGGTAGGACATATGAGAAAGTGCCCAACAAGAAATTTCAGCTCTCGTTTTACTGCAGGATGCTCGAATGGCTCCGCGGAAACGTGTCTGTGTTGCTCCTTGTATTTAGACATCTTCGCCCTCGCCTTCCTCAAAATCACCCTCCGCAGAAATGACTGTGAGGACGCCGTGAGCTCCCGCAGTTCCAATACCCTCGCCATGAGCCGATCCAGGAAATCGCCCACCTCATTTTCCGCCACGTCGACATCCAGGCCCATGTAGGGGATCTGGTTCAGTCCTAAGTTCATGATACCCTGCAGTAGAGGGTTGTCCGTGATCGATGAGTCGATCATGATCACGTGCGTGTGCCCTTCGGAATGGAGTAGATTCAAGGAGGCAGGGCTGCGCATGTCTGCGTATCTGCGCGATCTGCATGGGCACGGCTCCGGATCAAAGGCATCCATCCATTGCGCCACGTCAAAGTCGCAGAACACCTCTGCGGGTCTGCAGAGTCTGGACGCGATACTGGCGTTGTAAGTCCATCCAATCATCATGCGCTCCAGCCACGTTGTCGTGTCATCTCCGACTATCCTCGCTAGAATCTCATTGACCATTTTCCTGATGGAAAGAGGTTCCATCACCCTGCTGGTGTACTTCAGGTGCAGGAAGACGTCGCAAATCCGACTTCTATCTTTTCCAAGATCTTCGTCCTGTTGGCAACGTGATCATCTGCCCAGGGGCATTGACGCAGCAGCTCGGGTCCTGCGTCCCAAAAGTCACAATCGCAGGACAGGGGTTGTGTCGGGTGGGACAGTGAATCTCAGAGAGGTGATGGGGCAGCGGGATCGTTCAAAGAGATGGCCTGATCAGAGAGAAGGAGAGGAAAAAAGGAAAAAAAAAGGGGGGGGAAGAAAAAAGGAAGGGGGGAATTAAGAGGTCGAGCACGTGTCGTTCGCGTGCCGACGGAGGTGCCCGCCTTCATGTTGCCCTTGCCTCGATTACCCTTTTTTTCCTCCCAGTCTGGTTAATCGTCAACTGTGCCGAGTTTTCCGTCGAAAGGAGGATGACAGGGGGAGGGGTGAGCCCCCTTATCATCATCATTGGTTGTAGCGCGAGTGGGGAGGTGAGAGTACGATTCACGGTTGTTCGTAATTGCGGGTTTGCAATGAGCGAGGTGCGTAGGTGATCAACAAAGCTGATCTGCTGCAGTTCGGTGGACAGCACCACAAGTTGCGCTCGCACAGAGACGGCCTATGAAACACCCACGGACGCGTCCGCGGGTCCAATCTCGGATGGCGGACGCAGATGGGGCCGCGTCCGCGCGGCCGATCTAGTCCGCGCCGTGGACCCGATTTTACCAGAATTTTCCTGAATTAAATAATATGTTAAAAAACAAAAAACAAAATGGGGTTGTAGGGAATTTTAAGCCCTACAACCCCGTATTTGTTTTTTGGAATCGGACTTTGTTTAGGATTTTTAAAAAATCAAAAACTAAATTCGATTTAAAAAAAAACAAAAAACAAATATAAAGAAAAGCTGGATTTTTTTTTTGACATTTTTTATCATCAGATATATGGTCCCTGAGTTCACCTGTATTTTTTATAAATGAATTTCTGTTTTTTGCAGGGGTATGAGGTGTTTTAGAAAAATAAAGATGCAAAATTTGAAAATAAATAAACAAAAAACTTGAAAAAAAA